TGTCCGTAGGAAAGCGCTAAATAAGGGTGGCGCCACTGTAGCTACAGTGTAAATTTAAAGAATGTTTTATAATTTTTTTATTGCGGAGACTCACCATAATTATTTATTTAATATTTTTTTATTGTTTTTAAAAATTTTATTTTCAAAATCGTCAAAATTTTCGTTTTCAAAATCTAAATCGGCGATTTTTCATACCCTGTATCTACTCAAGCGCTGTGGTGGAGAGTTAATGAACTGCTATTTACTGCTTACTGATAGACACATTTTCAACTATTCTCCTATGGGAGATTGTCCTTATTACCTCTATACTCCATGGTCAAAGCATTAGTAGCTTGTAGCTTCTTAGTTTTTTAGTAAGTTTGGGCTCATAGATTTGGGCTTCTTAAAACATATCATAGTAGTGAATGTTTCAGTTTATTTAGTAAATTGCCCTTTTTGTAGAAATTTCAGTATTAATAATAATTTTACCAATACAATTAAGATATTTCTCTTCAAGTAGCTTTTAGGAAATATATTTTTTAAATATAGTTACTACTTAAACTTATGGAATGTATTCACTTTGATACGTGATTAGTGTAGGTGCTTAGTGATTAGGAGTAAACACGTGTGGACAGCGATTGATTAGTGCAAGTGATTAATGATTTGCATAGTAGAGTGATTAGAAGCGAGTTCTATTTTTTTGCGAGTTTACTGCGAGTATCCACGTCTTGCAGTATTTTCTTCACTAAACACGTCTGGGCGACAGTTTAGCGTTTAGCGTCGGAGGCTCGCTTGTGTTTCAAAAATGGCAAAGTGGACCGAAGACATAACCTATAAATATATAAATACATAAACATTCACGCCAGTCACCCAGAGGGGTAGGCAGAGACTACAGACTTCCATTTGGCACGATCCTGACACACCTCTGTCACCTCCTTCACATCCATATACCTACGCATACATGCTCGTCGGTTAGGGGGGTAATGAATCCTCCTAATTTGGCCCGTTTTCAATAAATCGCCAATTTGGTCGCCCAGGACGTCCCTTTCCGACTCTGCCATTCACTTCTGCAACATAAATTTTCTTTGTCATTCTTTCCTCATTCATTCTTTCCACATGACCAAACCACCGAAGCATTCCTTTCTTAGTCCTGGTCACAACATCATCTTGTAAACCACACTCTTCTCTTATCACACAATTTCTCACCCTGACATTCAGATTCAGCCCTAACATACTCCTTAACGACCGCATTTCTAGTGCGTTCATTCTACTCTCGTGCTTCTTCTGCCACACCCAACTTTTACTACCATACGTTAAAGTAGGGACCAACACAGCATTATGAATTGCGATACGTGCCTTTTTCGACACATTTAGACTCTTCACAATAGAGTGTAGGGCCCCATTTACTCTATTACCTGCATTCATTCGTCGTTCTATATCCTTATCACATCTCCCATCCCTGCTAAATACGTTACCCAAATATACAAACTCGTCTACTTGCTCGATCAACTCCCCTTCTATTCTTATTTCACATATCGTTTTACTTTCTTCTCTTTCAAAAACCATAACTTTCGTCTTACTTGCGTTCACTTTCATACCCCTTTCTTTTAGTGATCTGTTCATTAATGTAACCATCATTTGCAACTCGGCCGCCGATGACGCAAGAATAACTTGATCATCGGCGTACAAAAGGAATTTGACGGTAAACTCACCCATTATAATCAGCATTCTTCAACTTTCAAATTTTGCAAATAACTGTCCATAAATAGGTTGAACAGTCACGGGGAAGCCACACAGCCCTGTCTGACACCTTTATGGATGCCAAACCAGTCCGAGTAGACCCCGTTGATCCTAACACAAGCACTAGGAGTCTCTATAAAGAGACTCCAATGCCCGTATCAAACCAGCGCTCAACCCAAATGAGTTCAGTGTTTACCATGGCACATCCCTATCCACTCTGTCATAGACCTTTTCCAAGTCAATGAACGCACAAAAAACCTTTTGGTTTTTGGCCAAAAACTTCTCCGCGATCATGCGCATGGAAAAGACTTAATCTGTACATCCCATTCCCTTTCTAAATCCCGCTTGCACATCCCAAATTTTTCCATCAGTTTCTTTCATTCAGTACCTTAGCATACAGTTTTCCTACAATGCTAAGAAGGCTGATACCACGGTAGTTTTTACAGTCCTGCTGCGACCCTTTTCCTTTATATACTGGGACTATCACGGCTTTGCACCAGTCTCCCGGTACTCGCTTAAGTTCCCAGCACAAATTAAACAAGGTGTGCAGATGGCCTGCCACCACTTCCTCTCCAGCCTTTAGCATTTCGAGTGAAACTCTATCATATCCGGCAGCCTTACCTGCTTTCATGCTTTTCATTGCTTTCATTATTTCATCTATACTTATCTCGCTACCTCTTTCCTCTTCTTTCGGAGTTTCTACTTCATTTAATTTATACGTTGTCTCCTCATTCATAAACACGCTTTCAAAATATTCCTTCCATCTCTTTAAACTCAAAACTTCATCATTCAGAATAAATCCATTCACGTCTCTTATAGCATTCATTATAGGCTGTTTTGAATGTCCCCTGGCAGTTCTTACGAGTTTCCAGAACCTGGAAGTTATCCGGTATTCTTCTATAATTTTTATCCGTTCCTTCTTGCTATTTCCTTCCAACTACTTCTTTTACTCTCTTATTTAGATGACTAAAGACTGCCTTTTTTCTTTCAATATCAACATTTGTACCGCTAGAATTACCAGCCTTTGCTGCTAGTAAATCTAGCCATGCTCCCTTTTTTGCTTCAACTTCCATACGTATCTCATCATCCCACCATAATGTATTATTTTTCCTTTCATTCTTTCTCTTACTAACAACACATACGTCGGTAGCTGCATCCACTAAACCTTTCTTAACATTTTGCCATACATTCTCCAAGTCTAACTCATTCATACATAATTCATCAAAACCACTTATATTTTCTTTCACTACATTTGAACTTGTTTTTCTCACCTTCCTCTTGTCTCCTTTCTGTTCTAATACGCTGTAACGCAGTGGTAGACATAGATGACCGATGGCGCCAACGCCTGAATAGACCATTACTTGGCATAAAACCTAATAATGATCCGTTCCTACGTTAGACCCCCGGTAGACCCTTGTACCTACCACTGCGCCCCTCATTCTTTCATCCACAATTATGAAATCTATCATGCTTCTATCATCACCTCTTTCCCAAGTATACATGTGAATCCTCTTGTGGAGAAAGCAATTGTTCGTCACAAAAATATTCTTTTCCATACATACGGTGAGGAGGCTTTTACCATTCTCGTTTGTGCTTTCATCACCAAACGTTCCCAATATCCTTTTATAAACAAGCCTCCGCACCATAACCCTTCCATTAAAATCTCCTAGCATAATAATATTTTCATTTTCCTTACATTTCATTAACACCATCCTTACCATTTCCCAAAACTGCTCTCGGATATAATTGGGCTTAGACATGTCTGGGGGCGTAGACCCCTAGCACAAACAACTTCTTTCAACCCACTTTCATTCGTATCCATAGTAATCTTGGTCTTACACATTCATACTCTTTCACACATTGGCCCATTCTTTCTGAAAGGATGATACCTACTCCCTGGCATGCCCGCTCGAACTCGTCTACCCCAGACCAGTATGCGGTATACATGCCATGTGTAGTGACATCCTTCCCCTTCCGTTTCGTCTCATTTACACATCTATTCCTCTATCATACATCATATCGCATACTTCATTCATTTTATCATTCATCGCTACACATATATTCAACGTAGCCAGACGGGCCTCTGCAATCCACTTTTCACCCCTCCGGGAGACAGCACGTGACGGGTGGCGAACCTCGTCACCGGTTTTCCTCCCGGAGATTCTTCGCACCCCTGCCCTATTAAAGGGGCGCCGGGAACTCGGGGCCATTTCTTTTATTCGGTTCCTCATAGTGCGAAATATAGGGTAGTATATTTTACGCCGCTACCACGGCGAAGAGCCGAGTCTGTGCTATCGGCTTGTCGCTCATTTAGCACCACCCGGGGGACACGTGTAGGTTGGTAAAGTCTACGGACGCGAGCGACTTACCCCCTTATAAATATGTGCAGGAGTATCTAAAAAATGAATGTCTTAACTATAGTAAATACCCCTACGGCTAAGATAAAGGAGAACGAGATGTGGAATTTCTACGTAGAAGTGAAGCTATGAACATACTGGTATTCGGAAGTAAAGAAGTTTATACTAAAACAAGAAACTTAAGATCTACATATTCGCATGAGGTTAAGAAAATTAAGAGTACTTGCTGTTCAACGGCTAACATTGAATTTACTATACACAGGCACTAAACAGAATTGTACACTACTTACACTACACATCTGCACTAATCACCCGCATATACTAATCACATGCACTCGCACTAATCAAAATGAATACAGGCCTTTATATACAATTTTTCTCATTTTAAAATTAATCAATGTTGTGTACCAATAAGGTCTTAAATGAGAAAATCCATTCAGGAGTGAGTAGGGGCCTGTGCCTAGCACTGGGACGTATACAGGCTGTAGCTTTAAACTAACTTTTAAGGTCTTAATTAAATTATAAAACTCTAAACAAATCACAAGCAATTAATAATTTTAGATACAATCAAGTTATAAACATTTTGAATATGTTATAGTATTTTAAAATGAGGTAATAGTTTTTTTTTATTATTTCGTTAGTAGAATTTGTTAGATTTTCGCTGCTTTGTTTAGTAGATTTGTCAAATAAAATCAGGTCATGTCACGCTAATCAATCAATGTCAAAAGCAAAACGAAAATGAGCGCGAATCAACCGCAATGCAAAAGTATTCATTGTTAATTTTATTTTAATTATGGAATATAACTTATATAAATCAAATTACTCAAGAACGATTACAAATCTATATTGTGATTTTCTATGCAGTCGTTATATAAAATATCTTTGTCAATGTTTAACATATGAAATAAAAATAAAAACGAAATTATGGATCAAGAAAATCGAATAGTAGTTTTGATTGATATGGATTGTTTTTACTGCCAAGTGGAAGAAAAATTGGACCCTGTATTGAAAGGGAAGCCTATAGCAGTTGTACAGTATAATCCTTGGAAAGGCGGCGGGTAATCACTTATTTTTATCTCATCATTCAATTATTTTCAGAAACTAACTTATTAAACTGCTGTCTTGGTATGGGCTACTAGTCTTGCCTATTTACTACCATAGTAAAAGTTATTAATGTATGGGATTAAAATTGAAAAAAAAAACCACTCCTTTAAATGCACTCAACTGTAGGTGCAATGCTGCTTAGTGCCTGAAATAGGTAAGAAGGTGCTACCTATATGGCCAGACGAACCCGCGATATCCGCCGCGATGTTATGTGACTTGGAATTTTTAAAACATAAGACTAACAAATGAGCCACCTGATGTGCAAATCATTGTCTGATGCTGTAAATAAAAAATGCTGTAGATTACTTGTCAACCATGAGGATTAAAGTAGAATGTCTTTCCACAATAGCCTGCAATTGCAAACTATGTCAGGAGTGACAGAAATCAGCTCTCTCACTCATCCAGAAAGTCAGGCAAACACCTCTCTTTCTTCTTTCACATCGAATTACTAATCATACTTGCTAGTCAGTTGCGTCAGTCAGTTAAGAGTGCTCTTAATATGGCCCATCTTCAATATATTTCAATTTGGTCAATAAACTATCTTCTAGAGCATCCTTACCAACTCTACTACTCACTTCTGCAGCATAAATTTGCTTTGTCACTATTTACTCATTCTTTCTACATGTCCAAACACTAAAGCATTTTCTTAATCCTAGTCACCACATCTTGTTGTTGTTAACCACAGTTTCTCTCCCTATTATTCAGTCACCCTTAACATACTTCATAATGGCCACATTTCTACAGCATTAATTTTACTCCCATGCTGCTCCATGTCCAGTTGTGGGTCCATGTAATCCTCTACTGTTGTAGGTTGTAGAATGAAATGTTATCCCTGCTATGTGCATATTAATTATTAATGTGGTAGATCTGTGCTTCTGCTATATTATGGTTGCAGCAGGAATTGATAGGCTTGACCAGGGTCGGCACAGAATAACCAGTATGAAATAACAGCTTAATGCTGCAATGTTTTGTATGGTTAGTGTTGGGAAGCTGATTAAATGGAGAATTCATTAAATTTTATTAAATTTATATAATTTATAAATTTGTTCTTATTGGATAATAATTAGTGATGCAACAAATACTACTTTCATGAATATGAATTAAAAACCTACTATTCGGCGAATATGATTATGAATATCTAGCCATGGTAATGAAAAACTTATTTATTTGGTGATTTTCTATTATATATTTAAAATTTACAACACGCAAATTTTTATTTAAAAAAAAAAACAAGATTTGTAGATTTTCTTCAGGTTTTAGGCGACTCCTTTTTGCAGTTTGGATGTTCTCAGCCATTGGAAAAAGCCTTTCCGAGAAGACTACATGGTGGACATCTTCTCGCCAAATAAAAGGGCAATAATCAGAGGCAAGATTCAAGACTTCGTAATTCTTATTATTGGGATTGTTAGAGATAATGTTGTTGCTTCTTTGCTTAGCTCTTTAGTAGCCTCTTCAAATTAGCCAGAAGATGAATAATTTGGCTCATAAGAGCCCATTGCCTTGCTGTGATTTCATGACGACAATTTGGTATGGATAGTAAAACATCTTGAATCGCTATGCGTTGTTCATGTAATCTCTTCAACATCTGATATATTGAGTCCCGTCCAGTTTCTACATCTTGAAACAAAACATGTTTCAATATATTATTAGCTTGTTGAGAATCTTTCAGTCGATTGAGTGTTAAAATGAGTAACAACTCCCCTGCTCTTGTGTAGCCGTCGTTGCGGCTAAGGGCCTATGCACACGCCGTATTTTTTACGCGCCGACGCGACAACCCACGTTTTCAATGTCTGCCAGTAATTAGAGTTGCGTACAAAAATATAAGTTTTTAAATATTTGTGATTAGTAATGTCGGAATACGAATATTCGGTAAATGTATGCTATTCGGTGAATACGAATATTCGTATTCATTGCATCACTAATAATAATCATTCTTATTCATGTAAAACACCAGTAAATTAAAATTTTATTACTATATTAATACCTTGATAAAAATAATCTAATATATAAAAATTTATTTTTATTTGTTCATATTTTATGTGCTGCCATACTATTCATTAGATTGCGGTAAAATTTTGTCAACACATTGCTTGCACTTCCCCGAAGGTTATAGGATATAGGTAGGGTATTGAAAACCACTTCCTTTCCAGGAAAAATGTTTACTTCAGTCAACCTTTACACCCTACAGGAACCTAAGAATGCACTGCTGTGATCATGACAATTCACACTCTTACTCACGCTCAATATCTAAATTTAAATTTTGGGACCAAAGGGTTGAACAACTTTACACTAATTGAAAACTCATGTTACGTTAAATTGTTTGAATTAACCTCACACATGGTGTACTTTATTGAATTATAATTTAAACTAAAGATCTCCAAAATTCTCTGCTCCGTTACGCTGTATTTAGATATGTGTATATAACTTTCATAAAATATATGAATTAGTTGTAAAATATCTATTGTGTTAAAGTTATCTTTTCATTCAATCATTTTTGTATACAAAATAAGAACCATAAAAAAGATTATTTTTGTATCTGTCATATATTTTGTTCAATGAGAAATATTTTTATAGGATTATTGCAGTTAACTATGTTGCAAGAGCAATGGGGGTGACGCGACACATGAGAGGGGATGAAGCCAAGGAGAAATGCCCTGAGATTCAGTTGCCTTCCGTACCGTGTCTGAGAGGCAAAGCTGACATTACCAAGTAAGTAACAATGTTATGTAGTAATCATTTAAAATCAACCAAGTTTATCTATAGAGTTAAAAAAGTTAGTAATAACATATTATTTTATGTAAATTTCATGCCATAACATGATATAGTAGGTACGATGAAACTCCATTATCTTATACTACTTACTAAAAGCAACAGAATTATATTACACCAGCAAGATCTTTTAGCTGATTTTGCAGTCGTTTTTTGAGGAATACATTTGAAAATTACCCCAGCTAGTTTGGAAAGTGCATTTGAATTTGTCAATTTTCCTGCCAAGAACAGCATTATATTTGATTATAAATTATATAGCAAAATAATATAAAGCTGCACAGCAATGGGCCAACTGCAAGAAAGGTTCTTCATTGGCAGTCTTGTAGTACTAAGCGGAGTTTAAGTAGGCCCCTCTTGTCTAGATCGAGCGATAAACTGGTAAAACATCCAAGAAGTTGATCAATGCAGGTGGCTCAGAATTGTGTTTGTAACTTACATGCCGGCCTGCCTGCAGGGAGGGTTATGTTGTGGTATAAGTAAAACATTTCTTATTTGATATTAGAATTCCACTTTCACAAAGGAATCTTCCACCTATTTGAAGCCATATCAGCTGTAAAAACATCTCATTTACGCGAGGCGTAAAATCCCCAGACGGGCGATGGAAAGTAGCTTCAAGGATGCCAACATTAGGTACTGCAAAATATAATCCTTTTGCCATACGTGACAATTAAGACAAATCCTCTTTACAATGGAGGGGGCTCATCTCCAGCAGTGGATGTTTATTGGCTGATGATCAGAAAGAACAAAAAAAGGAGAAGGTTCTCAAATAGACTGTATTTTTTTCTGTGTTATCTCAGAACTTTTTTTAGGTGAACAAATTTGAATGATTCATTTTATTTTTATTTTAAAGCCGATGAAGCATGTGGCTCACTGAAACACTAAATTTCATCAAACTGAGCAGTAGTTTTTGAGTTATCATTAGTAGTGCATATTTAATCAACTTCAACTATATTCATGATGTTCTCATTTTATTTATATTGAAGTCAGGTGTACAAAATTTTTAATTTTACTACTTGTTTGTTCTAAGATATCGAGATGCTGGGAAAGAAGTAGCAAAAGTTCTGCAAAGATTTACACCATTGTTAGAAAGGGCATCTATAGATGAAGCCTACTTGGACATAACAATTCCTGTAAGAAGTTATTATTTATATAAATATGAAAAAAATTATTAGTGTGATTTAAAACCATCCAATTATTACTTTTTTGTCTGCAATTACGATCACCATAAGTCCAGTAGGCAGATTTGTGATTGCCAGCACCAAAGACATTACTTGTAAGAGTGGGCAACTCTCAAAAAAAGACAATTAAAATGCTTTTTATGAGTTGTTTATGCAAACATTTCAATGGAATTATATAGGAAATAGTTTTGTAGTGAAATTATGACCATCATAGGTTTATTTTTAAATACTTAATATTCATTTTTTTTGAAAATCAACCAAGTTTTGAGACACTTCTATGATTAAGAAATTAAAATTATTAATAATGTAGTTATTTATTAATAGTGGCTTCAATTCAGGATAGAGCTCAAAAAAAGGACAGAAAAATATCACAATTTCTTGTAGTCATTAAGACAAATAAACATAACAAAAATGTTACCTTAACTGAAACAAACAATAGCAACAGCATTTTGAGGCTTTACTAAAAGTAATTTATTGAATTTATATCATTTAAACATTGCGGATGTGAGAGGAGACTGGGAAGTGCTAGAAAAATCTTAAGAACCAGCAAGAAACCCAGGGGGACTTAAAAAAACAGCTTACAATCATGTATGTTACACAATTAACAACACAAAATAAATTAGAAATAGCTTGATAGCGATCACCTCATTCCCAGGGGTTATTATCATCCATTAATTCCTTAATGTTATAATAACCCTTTTTATACAAACTTAGTTTAATAAAGTTTTTGAACTTTGAGCAGGTCAACTTTTTATATTAAATCTACACAGATGCATTATCATTTGTTAGGACTATGATAGAATGCCTCATGGTCTGTTACTAAGACACAATATATTTAAACCTGCTGCTTAGCATCAAAGGTACAAAAGAAGATACCAGACAGACTATGCAAAGCCCTAACGTGGTAGAGTCATGCTGCATCTATATTAGAAGTAGTTGTAGCACGAATGGGTTGCCTTGACCGGGGATCACCACATTCTTCCAGAATACCAGTGTGAAATAGCTTAATGTTGCTGTGTTTTGTATGGTGAATGTAGAGAACTGGAGACCCTTTTTATTGGAAACGAAGCATTCCATCTAAGTCCTCAGAGGTGACAACGCATCTACATTTTGATTCATAATCAAGAATAGATGTAGATGTCTGTGGGCCACAGCAACCACTTATCATTGGTTACGTGTTCGTTTGTCAACCTTATCCTATAAAAAAACAGCTTGTAAACCTCATTATGTACTCACCCACAAACAAATTTATTTTAGGTACAACAAAGATTAAAAACATTGAATGTGAACACAATAACAATAGACGTGTTGCCGAACACATTTGCGCTGGGCTATAACTCTATAGATGAATTTGTGGCCGATGTGCAGAATGATGGCAGTGACAACATAGACTTTGAATATGAGCATGCGCGGCAGCTGCTCGTAGGGGCTGTTCTTGTCAGCGAGATGCGAGCTGCTGTCTATAATGAAACTGGTAATGAAGAAATATGTGATCATATTTAATTGTTTACTAACGATATGCTCCGACTTCTCACGAGTGATTTCTGAATCTCGGACAGCAACACCAGGTTCAAATGGGAATCTAAGCCATCTGGGGACCCATTCTACAACACACAAAAAAATTCATCCAAATCGTTCGATCCGTATTTGAGTTTTAGCGAGACTTCAATTATCATCATTATAAAACACATCCACTGCTGAACATAGGCCTCCCCCAAGTAATGCCACAAAGCACAGTCCTGAGCCACCTGCATCCATCGACTTCCTACATGTCTTACCAGGTCGTCACTCCATCTAGTGAATGGTCGCCCTACACTACGCCTACCGGTATGAGGCTGCCACTCGAAAACTTCCCCCCCCCATCGGTTATCGGTTCTTCGAGCTATATGGCCGGCCCATTGCCACTTCAGCTTACTAATCCGTTGGGTTATGTCGATCACTCCGGTTCTACATACAGTTCTACTGCTAATATCCTCATTTCTAATCTTATAACGCAGAGAATCCCTGAGCATAGCCCTCTCCATAGCTCGATGAGCGACCTTGATTGTCCTCATACGGCCAGCAGTGAAGGACCATTAGCGAAAGTAACGAAAAGAATTGTTTTTATTACATAGATATAAATATAGAATATGTTAACTTAATAATAATGTCCTCCAGATTGAATTTAGGTCACGGTGGCCAGTCTAAATGGAAACTAGCCATCTGCTCAGGATACAGTACCCGAGTGTACACGAGAGCACAGGTGCGCTCTCTGTTTCCTCACTTTCGTAGTCCGATAGGACGGCAAACCGACACGACCGGAGAGAGACTAGGTGCAGGCTTTAATACTTTCCGAGGCACGAGGCTGAAACACCGCCTCCGGGCTACTACTGAGAATTCCTTTACAAAATATCCAATAGCTGACTTTGGTCTGACCCAGGATTCGATCTCAGGACCTCATGATCAACAATCCCTTTCACGATACTAAGCTAATGAGGCAGAAACCTAATATTAATAGTAATGTCCCCAGACCGAATTTCGGTCACTAGCCACTAGTGACTAAAGAGACTAGCTATCGGCGCAGTGCAGGATTATAGTGCCCAAGTATATGCACAAGCTCAATGAACTCACTATTCCCTCACTCTCATAATCCGATGGAACGTTAAACCGACACGACCGGAGAGAAATCAGGTACAGGACCAACGGTTTTACGTGCTCTTCGAGGCACGAGGGTGAGACACCGCCAACTTCCTGACTCCGGGCAACTACTGAGAATTTCCTGATGGTAAAACTCAGTAATCGATTTTTTGACCCGACCCCGGATTCGAACCCAGGACCTCATGATTAGCAGTCGCACTAATACAACTAATAGACCAACGAGGCAGTCAACCTAATATTATAGATTTGTCAATAGATGTGAAAGCTAAAAAAAATTTTGTTATTACTTTAGTTAAACAATCAAAACTTAGCATTTTCTGTATTTATTGTATTTTATTACGTGGTAGAGCCATGCTGCAGTTATATTAGTAGTATAGTTGTAGCACGAATGGGTCGGCTCGACCGGGGAAGGACCACGCTCTCACAGAATACCGGCGTGAAATAGTAGCTTAATGCTGCTGTATTTCGTATGGTGAGGGTAGAGAACCGGAGACCATTTTACTGGAAACGAGGCATTCCATCTTAGTCCTCACGGGTGACAACGCATCTGCATTTTGATTTTTAATGGAGGATAGATGTAGATGTCTATGGGCCGCAGCAACCACTTACCATCAAGTGGACTGTGTGCTCGTATGTCACCCTATTCTATAAAAAAAAAATGTAATATTTGAAAACTGTATAACTATATTTTCAGGGTACCAATGTTCGGCTGGTATCGCGCACAACAAAATCCTTGCGAAGCTGGTGTGTGGCATGAACAAACCAAACAAACAAACTCTCCTTCCTAAGCACTGCGTTAATGTTCTCTACCAGTAAGTTTATTTTAGGAGTGGGACGTGGGGCCCCACACAGTGAGCACGAATTAGTTAGCCTGTAATTAACCTATGTTTTGTGTATACGTATTATCGGCCTACCTCTTATCTATCAGATCCTCTTGGCTATGGTATAAAAATCTGAAATTTGCTGTGTATTAAACATAGTTTAAATTTAGATTTCACTACAAGCTAGTATTATATTGTTGCGCGCCTAAGTTGACGTCATGTAGTGTCAGGGACGAGAGCGGGGGGAGCTTTCCAGAAAATGACATCACTAATCTTTAAACAATAAAGTAACAATATTAATGTGAAAGACTCGTAGCCCGTGTATTTACGGGCCCTATGGCAGGCCTGTCATAAGTTCCATAAGTATTACAGAGAGCGCAAAGCGCAACAGGCGGCGCTCTGTTTCCCTATTGTATTGCACCGCACGCAGCGAGTCCTTATCATTATAGTCCGTTCGCGTTAAGAAAATAGTAAGTCATCAGTGCAACTACAAGGTAAAGGTGTATTTACAGTGGAGTAAAAATTTAATTAAGTTTAATGGAAACAAATTTTCTTAAAATTACTTAAATCACTAATCAGTATCGCTAGATTCTCCAGTTACATTAATTAAGAATTTTGTTCTGCAAGTTCCATGATGTCATCCAAATTCCACATGGTATTTTCTTCGCGTATCACGTGGTCGCTAGCGATGGGCGTTGAATCAACGAACCGTTTAAATAGACGGTCTACGTTCAATCGACGCTTCAACGGTCTGCAGTTCATTCGTTAACTAGTCGAATTCATAGACGGCTAGACTGTGAGTCAACAGCGTTCTTATCTACTGACAACGCGACGACGACGCCGTAAAGTGCATGCGTTCGTTGAATTAGTATCATTGAACAAACCAATTTGAATCTTAATTATATGACGTAGGAGTTGATGTTTCTTTTTTATTAGAACTATTAGAGTGAAAAGGCAAGAGCATTCTGATATTGCGCGAAAGTGTATGTCGACGGACTGGCCAAACGATGCAGTGCAGGGTAAACGGGATTATTATTGTTTACCTATACTTTGTAGAAATTTGAAATTAGTGTCTACTCACGTCGCAAGGTCAAAGCTACAGGAGTCGTGCGTGACTCGCGAATGCGAATATATAGGCGAACGAGACTAACGACAAGCGAAGTTGAGCAAGTTATGTTTCTAAATGTAAATACACCTGAGGAGAGATTTAAAGGGTTTTAAATTCATTCATCAAATAATTTACACGATTCTTCTGTACATACATTGATAAATAAAAAAAGGAAATAAAAATATTCATTAAAACACCTATCCATAAAAATATGTAAATAAAAGATTATATATATACATAAAATCAGTTGATCTTCCAAATACGCCTGAAATACGATAGTAGCAAAATCTTTTCGAAGCATATTCAGCCAATCCTAAGCCTAGAAAGGTATTAAGGGAAGTTTAAATTGATTGATTGTACAATTCGATAATAGGTATTTCTACACCAGTCAGAGTGCTTTGTGCTCAAATCAAATTTCTTTGAATATTTAACTAACTTTGCAGTTCATTCAACCGTCGCGAATAGTGGGTAAAACTATTTAAGACACTGTCGTCGTACCGTTGCGCCCGTAGACACCACGCTTTAGTTGAATAAACGTCTGCCGTTATCGCGTTAACTAGTCGACATATTCAACTAGTTGATCACCTAGTCGATGGACAGCAATAGACGGTCTAGTTTCGTTGACGAAAATTACGTCGACGACCCACCTCTAGTGGTCACAGCACTTCTTCCAACGATTACCGTCTATTGCTAATGCTATTGCGTCATCTAATTTTTTTTTATGTCACTCATTTTGACCGCGCGGTGCGACGGTAGGCGAAGAATTGTAATGCCATTACTTTTGGCAGTCTCCATCTATTAAATATTTATTATATTGTGGGGCGACTACGGCAACTTTCATTAATAATTCCTTTTTTAAATAAGTCATGTCCATGAATTTGAAAGTACTTATTAACATTGTAAATTACGCGTCTCTCTCCGCTATGGATTATTGATCCAGTTTATTCTTTCGAATAGGTGAGGTATTCTTTTCAAAATTTAAGTGAAAAGCAAAATACACAACCGTTTTGTTCGAAGGCCTGACTTCAACTGGTCACTGTGAACTCGACTTTCTAATTTTTTGCATTTTAATTGGGTCGGGGGCGTGGCCAGGCCGGTGGACAACGATGACTCACTATTTTCTTAACGCGAACGGACTATAGTATAACCATAGAATGGCTGTCAACTTTATTTTTTACGAGGATTGGCGTCGCCAAACCCGATTCGCCGTGTTGACAGACTGAGTAAATTTACACATTTTAGACTTTTGATTAATGTTCAAAATCATCATTAAAAAAAAACGTTGCAAAAAAAACGTGCAATTTGGCATTTTGTAAATAATTTGCATGCCAAATTTGGAAACGATTGTTACGTCAAAACACATCCCGTGTTGACATTTATACGTGTGAATTGACATGTTAGTGACATTTTAGTGGCTACGCGGGCTCCGTCCACTTCCTCGTTCTATTATGTATGTATTACAGTATTCTATGAGTATAACACTGGCTATTCACGCATCTTATCCATTTTGTATTTAGTGGGCTTCGGCTAGTAATTGTGCTGCTTACTTATATCGATGAGTTTTATAAGACGGCGAGACCTTTTTCAATTCGAGACCCTTTCCATCGATTATTATTAACAAACATTTATTTAAATGTTTGTTAATAATAAATTGTTGTGATTTACGGTTTACGATTTTTTGAACAGTGTTATTTAATTTATTGTAAGAGGGGAAGGTCAAGAGTACTCGGATACCTAGACGTGCATGTATGAAGAAGTTAATGAACCTGAAAGAAGCGAAAGAGGTATGTAAGGATCGTGACACTTGGCGATCTGTTCTCTATGGCTACCCCGTTAGGGATTGTGCGTGAAGATAAGTGTTATTTCAAGGACCCTTGTCTTTATACTTGTCGCCTCGATTTTAGAGTTGTGTTAAATATTTACGAGACAATGGTAGGAAACTCGACAGTATGACTTTAGTCCCTTGGGGGAGACGTAAAGCTCTAGAGTTGTTTTTTTTATACAATAAGGATGACAAACGAGCAAACAGTCCACCTGATGGTAAGTGGATGCTGTGGTCCATAGACATGTACATTTATCCTCGATTAAGAATCAAAATGTAGATGCGTTGTCACCCCTGAGGACTAAGATAGATTGCCCCGTTTCCAGTAAAAAAGGATCTCCGGATCTATACACTCACCATACGAAACACAGAAATATTAAGCTGCTATTTTACGCTGGTATTCTGTGAGAGCGTGGTCCTTCCCCGGTCGAGCCGACCCATTCGTGTTACAACTATAGCATAGCTACGTCGTGGATCTCCCACGTATAACGAAGACTGGGATACTAGTGTCTACACACTGGTGACCTCTCAACTTAACGAGTTCTTCATTAAGGCCGAGCGGCATCAAAGGCAGCTGAACTGAGTAAATGTCACAAATATAAGTGTCTGAGAGATGACTACATATTTATTGCACCATTTACTGTGGATTCTATCAGTTCGTGGGGTCTACACAAGCTCAAAAGCATTTCAGTGTGGAAACGCAGTCAGGGTTGTTGGCCTTATTTACTGGGGAGTTAGGACTATTTGATAATTTTAGTTTTTTTTTAAAGTTTTTTTTTAATCTTCTACCTCGTCATATAGACGACAGAGGCAAACAGAAACAGTGGAGGTGCAACAGTATCTTCCTCATAACAACTATTTTAACAACTCTGAATACCAGCGTAAAATAGTAGCTTAATGCTGATGTGTTTCGTATAGTGAGTGTAGAGAACCGGAGACCCTTTTTACTGCAAACGAGGCATTCCGTCTTAGTCCTCTCGGGTGACAACGCATGTCTATGGGTCACAGCAACCACTTACCATCGGGTGGACTGTGTGCTCGTTTGTCACCCTATTCTATAAAAAAACTCCTTATTACTGATAACTAACTACAAAATAATTCCGATTGCCAACCCGTCTGCCAAGAATGGCAACCATGACAGATATCCCCACTATGAGGCAATCTTTAGGGGAGACTTAAGTTAACGTTGCTTTTTTACACTTTTGTAATTAATGACAGAATTGTAGTGATGCAACGAATACTACTTTTACGAATACGACTGCGAATACGAATATTAAACCTACTATTCGGCGAATACGAATACGAATATCTCGCCATGGTAATAAATAACTAATTCATTTGATGATTTTCTATTGTTCTAATAATAAGAATTTACAATAGGCAAGTTTTTATTTAAAAAACATACAATTTGTAGATTTTTTGGTTCTAGGCGATACATGGTTTCAGTGAAAAATATTTCTAGGCGAGTTTTTTCAGCCTTGGAAAATGGACGCCTTGGATGGGAGCCCCGTTGTTACAGCTAAGGGCCTATGCACACGTCGTATTTTTTCGCGCCGACGACGCGAGTTTTCCAAGTCTGCCACTAATTAGAGTTGCGTTACGTTGCAAAAATATCAGTTTTTAAATATTCGTGATTAGTATTCGCCGAATACGAATATTCGGTAAATGTCCACTATTCGACGAATACTAATATTCGTATTCGTTGCATCACTACTGAATTGTAATAAATATTTCATATTATTGTGTTAAGTAATTAAATATTATATTAACAGTGATTAAAATATCGTATTTGGACTTGGAGCTGTTGTTATCGTGCGCAGATCTTTTTTGGAATAGTTATCATTCAGGCCTTACAATGAATACATCAACTGACTAGTGTTTCTCAAAACGTTTGCACATACTTCACTAAACAGATTGATGATGCTGCTCTCTATCATCAGGTCACGGGACTTGAATTTGGCATTTTTGTGTGCAGGTTCTTACATCTGTCAGTCGGCCGAGTCTTGCCAATCAGGTTGAAAAGTGAGAAATTCCAAAATTAAATCTCTAGTGTAATATTATTATTATTTATTATATTTTATTTGCAGATCATTGTCAGTTAAGAAAGTGAAACACTTAGGAGGTAAATTTGGCGACAGTGTGTGCGAAACGTTAAAAATAAGTAAAATGGGCGAATTGCAAAAGTTTACAGAAAAAGAACTCCAAACGAAATTTGATGAAAAAAATGGGTAAATGTATAAACTCTTTGATGTTTCTAAAATGTGTTGATTGTTTTCAGTCGGGTAGTTGACACGCATGTCAATTTAAATCGTTGTTATCGTCGCATATAATTAAGGCGACACTTGTTTAAATTTGGCTGTAAGTGTTTCTGTATATACTACGAGGGCGACAGTGAAAGTTTTCAGAACTGGCCACTTGTCAACGATATAATAAAAAAATAAAATCAAATTTTGAAAATGGAACTTTTGCCAATGGGTGCGTTTGGCAGAAAAAAGCGCTAGCTAGCGCTTACAAGCGCTAAAATAGTTTTCGGCCAGGACACGATTGCTACTTCAGTAGCGCTGACACAATCCGCCATTTTGCTTATTTATTTTGTTTGTTTTGAAGTAGAAATTATAAGTTGTTTTGTGCAATATTAGTTATAAGTAATATAATGACATGAATAGACATATACATGTTATTAAAAATTCATGATTGGTAAGTTTTTAATATGAATACTTTACAAACATATATGTAAATTAGGTTAGGTTCCCCGGTTAAAACTAACATCGTGTCCTGGAGGAAAATAGCTACTTACGATTTGACAGCGCTTACCGCTTACGATCGCCATTTTGCTTACAAGCGCTTGCTAGCGCTTTTTTCTGCCAAACGCACCCAATATTATTGTGTGTGAATTTAATAATTTGTTTACGATTTGGCGGCAAATTAAAATTGCCTGTGACACGTCAGCATGAATTTAATGCGAGAAAATTTTCGTACAATGATTTTTTATGAATTTCGATGTCATTTAAGTCAACAAGGAAGTTAGGATAGACTTCGATTGGCCTTTCACGATGAAGCCCCATCTCGTGCCACTGTTTACAACTGGTTTAATGAGTTCAAACGTGGTTGCACTAATCTCACCGATGATCTACGTGATGGACGGCCATCTGTGGCGACGACTGAAGATAACATCACTGTTGTGCGGCGTATGATAGAGATATGTTGTGCGACGTATGATGATTCCATCGGATACAGCGATGTATCCGATGGAATCATCATACGTCGGATCGGATTGATGTAAATGGACATTATTTTGAAAAAATATACTTAATAACACTAATAACTTGCTAGTTTGTTCAGTATTTGATTTTCTAAGAACTTTCAGTGTCACCCTCGTTTTACACGTGTACGCTATGTTGGTGATTCAATAAATAAATAAATGCTTTTAAAAGGCAATGAAAAACAATTTTTATATCAATTGTATGTATATAGAAGTAAATGATGATATTGAATGAAACTAATTTTTACAAATTTTATAGCGTTTTATTACTTTTTTTTATTCCCGGCGTTTCGAGTAGTTACTTTATAGCACACATGATCACAGGGAGACTGAGGTGTTCGACGTCCTAGTGTCATTGTAAACCACGGCTAGCTCAGTTTATAATTATTAATTTTTGTTCCGATCTACACAGAACAAGCTTATAGTTTCTTAATGTCTTGCAGTTGTATACTTGGATTGAGATTTAAATTTTATTAATTATAGAATCCCAAGCAGATGTTAGCCCCGACCCAAGGTACCTAAACTAGTTTCATTCAATGTGTGGTTTTCACGTAAACACAAGAAATCGGTATTTATATTTAAATGGTACTTAATATTTTTTTTGTAGTCAAATAAGTTAAATTTTTAATTGAAAAACCAACAAAGCCTTGAAATCTCAAGGCGACATCATGTAATTTGAATTAATTACTTTAGTGATTACTAAAAGTAATAAATTTAAATTATATAATGACATAATTCATAAAATATTCTGATCTAGAAGATTACACAGACAGCCTTATAAACATTTTCTTTTTACACTGTACATGAAATATCTAAACTGGTGACGTCAAAGCGTCAAAAATGGGAAAGGTATAGTACTGTAACAGTGTTAGTAGTACTCCTGCCAAGCGTATTGGTTACGGCAAACCCTTCCACCTACTATAGAACATACCCATGTCACCAGTAGACTGTATGACTTTATGTTTGATGAGCATAAGGGAGTGGTAAAAGGAAGCTGTTGTAGTTGTGCAACTGCACAGGATAGTACCATTTGCTTATCTTTTGACAACTTATGACCACTTAAATTTCAGTACCTGGTTATATAACATAGCTCGAGGAATCGACTTGGAACCAGTGCAAGCAAGATTCAATCCTAAGAGCATTGGCTGTTGCAAGCAGTTTCGAGGGAAAACTGCTCTTGTAGACTTGGAAAGCTTGAAGAAGTGGCTCAAAGACCTCGGAGATGAGATTGAAGAAAGGCTGGAGAATGATGCCTTAGAGAATAATAGGACTCCGAGGCAGATGGTAGTGAGTTTCTCAACGCAGCAACCCAACGGACGTGACGTCAGCAGCTCTAGATCTTATAACTTTACATCTGAGGATGACCTGTGCGGAGAATTGTTCTCAAAGAAAGCTTTAGAAATGCTTTTGGACAGTGCAGAAGGCGTTAAGCCTAAAGGTATTAACTCCACCATTTACACGAAATAATTCTGTTTACATTTTGTATTAGTGACAATGTGACATGTGAGTGACAACCAAAAACCATATAACATGCAGTAAAATTATGGTGACTCAAGACTGTGTTTTGTGTTATTTCTTGAGAGTTCTAAATTCAGCAGTAGACTTGTGAGTGCATGTAATGATATACATTTGATATGCATTCGGTATAAGGGGGAATTTGTCAGTTTTCTCTCCGAATGCCAATCTTACTTATCTTTGAACTAATGGTGTAAAGACTATCTGAAAATGCTTTACCCAAATCACCAAGACTAAAATTAAGAAGCTATAATACCACTGTGATAGTACCGGTTTTGCATGCAACTGCTTCCATTTTTTTCTACTTCCTGCTTAGCATGCTATGGTTTTCAAAAATGCTTCCCGGTTGGCACATTATTTAAAAGTCCAAAAGTCCTATGTCAAACAGTGATTGTTACGCGGATATTACACAGTAATAATATTCGAGATTAATGTAGCTTGCTAAATTATGGGTCATCATGCATAATGTATCAACCAAATTCAGACTTGCTCTGAGTTTTACGTTTTGCTACCATTTTAGGTTATTGTAATGAGTCAAATATTTAAAAGGTCAAATTTCAACTTATTTTTATTGTCTTTGGATATCTAATCCTAAATCCAACTCCTAAAAAAGTACATTTCATCTAGTGAATATCGTAAAAGGCGACTATGGAATATGCCAGACAAATCTAATGGCTTCCGACAGATGGATTCGTATCAACTCGCTTACGCCAGACGTGAATTACCTAAACCGGCGATTGGCGGCAGTGTCAAAAGTGTAAGTTGGCTAGGGGTCTGTCTCGGTAGACATCACCATTTTAACGTATTCCGTTCCAAAGTGTAAAGAGAGCCTGTATTATTACAATTTGTGAGGTATTCCACCTTAATCCTCAGATGTGACAACATACTTCTTTTACTTGAAGTTGGCTGAAGGTATCCATGGACTTCCATAGCCACTTATCAACAACTGAACTGTAAGGTCTTTTGTCATAAGTTTTATAAGAAAAAGTCTTACTACGATCATTATCCCCTATCAAGCGTGACAATTAAGGCAAATTCTTCTTATGATTGGAGATACTGATGTCTAGTAGTGGAATTTAAAATAAGTGGAATGAGCTACAAAATAGGAACTTGATAGCGAGGGTAGACCAAATGACACCCACATTCATTTAATATAATTGGTTTGCAGAGGGAGAAGGAAACAGACATTTAAGAGCACCTATAAAATTTTTGGGTATCAGTGTAGGAAAATTTGAAGAACACTCTGAAAATAAGAAAACAAGGAAAATTAATGATTATTTTTTTGGTGCTTCATGTTCAAGAGACGTCTCGAGTGATAAAGTCATAACTAAAAGTATTAAAAATAATGATAAAACTGAAGATAAGAACGAAGGCAAAGCTCACTTATTCCGGAAATTCTTTCAAAGTGACATACCTGATAAATTACAGTCACGCGAAGTGAATGAAAAAGCGGAAACAAGACTAAATGGCGAAAATATGTTAGAATCCTCTTTGGATAAGCAAGAGTCTTTTTTTGCTAAGTTCCTTAAATCCGAAATTGGCAAAAATGCTTCGGACACTCAGTCTGAACCTGTAAAAATTAAAGAAGAATCAAAACGTCCCACAACACCTGATTGTAATATTGTAAATATAGGAGAAGCCAGTAACGATACAGAATATTCAGGCTCTACGATAGATATGGAAATAAATAAAAGCATTTCCTTATTCGAAGAGGACCCAGTGGATATAGACCGTGTCGGTAATATGAGACAACTGCTTAATAAATCCAAGTTGTTGGAAGAAGATTTGGAAGAAACTGAGCGGGAAGAACTGCAAGTCGAGTCTAAAATTCTCGATGTTCAAGAAAACGTACAAGTCCAAGTATCAGGAACGTTTAAATGCCCTGAATGTGGTAAAACAGTAAGCGTTAACATGTTTGACACACACGCTGATTATCATTTCGCTTTAAAGTTGAGAGAAGAAGAAAGAGAAATAAGACTGAAAGAAGTTGTAGACAAGAACAAAGATAAAGAGATGAATGGTAATCAAGAACCAAAACCGTCGAAGACCAGACAAGAAGAAGCAGTAGCAAAAAATGATGGTGCATCTATAGCTAATTATTTTATGAAAATCGATGGATCTGTTCCAACTGAAACATGCTCTGAATGTGGAAAAAGAGTTCCGCTGGAAAAGTTTGGTGAACATTTAGATTTCCACGAAGCTCAGAAGCTGAGTAGAGAATTGAATAACCGCCCCATTCATGGGAATAGTGTAAAGAGAAAAAGAAAATCGGCATCTCCAGTGAAAAAGTCTAAAGTGCCATGTAAATCCATAGATCTCTTTTTCAGGTAGCATATTGTACTCACGAACTTTGTAAATAAATTATCTATTTATTTTGAATGATTTTGCTTATTTTAAAATGTCCCTTTATTTTAATTAATCATTTATTGATCTGAGAATAAATATAACTATTACGAATTGAGTGTTACGCGTTTAAGTTTAGGTTTTAAGGCAAGGAAGTAGTGTCTGCCGCTCAGTTCCGTTTGCGCACCGCCCCCGAGCGGTCGTGCATACAGTTCTTTCGCGCCTCCGACCCTTCGGTAGCGCAACCGCTTGCCCGTGCGCCCCGCTCTCCCCGGCTAACACCGGCCGAGCAGACGCCGTTGGTGAGTCACTTTGTTTTTCGCATCGTTCTTGCACCCTTTGCTCCGGCGGGGAGGCTTGAGCGCGCTTCGCTTGTTTTGTTTTATTTTTAATTTTTCTGTTATTCTTATTGTTTTTGTTATACTGTTACTTGTTGTATTGTTGTATATACTGTTCTTAGAGAAGATCGTCTCTTGCTCTTCTCAGAGCGAGCCCTTGTTCTTTTCAGAACATAGGGACCCCAGCTTCTGGAATAGAACGTTAGTCCTCCCCATCTGCCCCAAGGCCCTGTTCTTCTCAGAACAGGGACCTCTAGTTTCATAAGAATCAGAACGTCTCGCCCCCCGTCCGACCAACATGTCTTCCATGGATGCTAGCCAAATTTTGGCTCTTTTCCACCAATTTTTAAAAACCCAAGGCGTAGACCTTGATAGCTTCCCGATCAATCTTACCCCCCGTGCCCCTAAGGCATGTGTACCCCCGCCCACCGTCGCTGCTTTCCTCGTGACCCAAGCGGCTGCCCCGCAGTCGGACTCGCCCGCGTCCCCCGACTCCGATATGGAGCACTCGGACACCACGTCCGTTACCTCATCCTCCCGGAAGAGGACCGCCCTCAGCTCCACCGGCTCCTCGGATTCTTCCGACTCCGAAGGAACCATAACCGACTCCCAAGCCGAATTCACGTTAGTGAAATCGAAGCGCGGCCCGAAACGCGCTGCCACATCTCGCACTCCCCCCGCCTCAACGGTGGCCGCCGCCCGCACTCCCTCCGCCGCTGCCTCTACCTCCGCAGCTCCCATCGTTGCCCCTACTTCCGCAGCCCCAAACGCTGTCGCCTCACAGTCGAAAGACAATACCGCCAAGCCAGCAACCCGCTGCGCTCCCGAACTGGCCAAAAACCAAGTCCCGCCCCCTGTCTTTCTCAGAGACAAGGCGAAATTCACCCAATTGTCCAAAACCCTCTACGATAAGGGTTTCAAATATGACCAAGCCACTAATGTCGGCGAGGCCATCAAAATTATACCGGCGTCTATAGAAGACTTCCGCAACATAACCCGCCTATTCACGGCCGAGCGTGTGTCCTACCACACATACGCCCTTGCCGAAGAAAGGAAAGTCAAGGCAGTCCTCCGCGGAGTTCCCTATGAACTCGCAAACGAAGACATTCTGGAAGACCTTAAATCCCAAGGCTTCCCCATTGAAGGTGTGCATAAAATGCACAGCAGCAGGGGCGAAAGGTGTAACCTCGCCCTCCTCGTTCTCGCCAATGTGCCGGAGGCGAAGGCCATTTTCCGCGAGGTACGCACTGTGTGCGGCCTGTCGCGTGTTAAGGTCGAAGCCCCTCACCGGCGCGGTTACCCAGCGCAGTGCCACCGCTGCCAACTATATGGACACGCGGCAGCCAACTGCTCAGCTCCACCCAGGTGCATTAAGTGCCTAGAACCCCATCACTCGAAAGAGTGCCCACGGCCCAAAAACGCCGAATCCCCACCCTCATGTGTCCTCTGCGGACAAACAGGCCATCCGGCCAATTTTAGAGGTTGCCCTCGAGCCCCTCGCCCACCTCCGAGCCGCAAAGCTCCACCACAGGTCAATGACCGAACCTTCCCGGCTCTTGTAAGGCGCAAGCCCAGCCAGGGCCAGCCCCTACCTCAGCCCCCTCAGGGCTCATCTCAGCCCACACAGGGCATCTATCGGCCCCCACAGGGCCCCTATCGGCCACCTCAGGGCCCTCCTCGGCCCCTTATGAGCCTTCCGCTCTCTCAGCCAGCGCCGCTTCCAATAAACCCCTGGTTCCAAAAAGGAGTCAAATATCCCGCGGCCCTCCGCCGACCCAAAAAAACAGACAGACTCTGTAGTAGAGTCCCTAAACCTAGTGTATAACACACTCAATAGGATCAATTTGGACGAAATCCTTATATTTGCGGGTAAACTGAGCACAGCTCAGTCCCCCTAGGGCCGCGTCCTTGCTCTTACCGAGCACATCAACCTTCTAAGATCCTTGTAATTAAATTATGCCGGAGCCCTCTGCTCCCGCAATATCTCACGGTCGTATCAAACCAAAGGGTTTGTCGCTTGTTTCATTCAATATAAGCGGTCTGCGAAATAACCTCCCAGAGCTTAGGCTTTTTCTACGAGATCGCGAAGCCGATCTCTTACTCCTACAGGAGACCCATCTCAGCCCCAAGGTCTCAAAAGGCCTTACTATTAAAAATTATTCACTTATACGTAACGAGAGACCCGACCGCAAAGGCGGCGGTACTGCCATCTATCACAAAAAGTCCCTTCATTGCTCCCACATATCTACTCCGTCGCTTACCAGTATGGAAGCCACTATCACTAGACTAGCCATGACTGGACACCAGTCAATCATTATAGCCTCTTGCTATATCCCTAGCGGAACCCTCCCCGTCAAGAGAGATTTCGAAGCCATCCTTGCATTAGGCGACTCAGTCATTATGTTTGGAGATTTTAACTCCAAGCATACTGAATGGGCCTGCCGCACTACTACCAGTAGTGGCAGGGTGCTGCTCAATATCACTCAGTCTCTCGACCTGACTGTCTACAGCCCCCCTCACTGCCACCCACTATCCCGACATTGTTACCTACGCTCCTGATGTGCTAGATTTTGCTCTAGTTAAAGGAGTTTCCCTTAACCTTAGAGCAATCGAGCCTCTCGACGATCTAGGATCCGACCACCGTCCTGTATCCCTCCTTCTTGGCCATCAGCCATCTCCAACTCCCACTTCCAAAACCTACACCAACTGGAAGGGCTTCAAGAAGTCTCTAGCCTCGGCTATAGACTCTCCGGACCCTCCCATAACCCTTTCTTCCGACGCCCTCGACAGTGCGGGGAAAATAGACACCGCGGTCGAAAATCTCACCTCACTTATAACATCCTCTCTTAAAGAGAATGAAAAAGTTGTCCCGGTTGCTAAAACTAGTCTTCCCCTAGATATTAGCAACCTGTTAAAAGCCAAAAAAGCTGCCCTCCGTAGAGCTGCACGCTATCCCACTCCCGAATATAGACTCGCGGCCCACCGCCTTCAACGCAAACTGCGTTACCGCCTCCAAGACTACAGAGACCACGAAAAGGGCAATCTCATGGAGAAAATCTCTCCCTCTCACACAGCGTACTACCGGATGGCGAGAGCCCTCCGGATAGACGCTATAACCCATACTCCCCCTCTGTCTCGTCCCGACGGCTCCATTGCCTTCGAAGACGAAGAAAAGGCTGAGTGCTTCGCGGACAGCGTTGCCGCTCAATGCTCTCCTAGCTCACAACCCACTGACCCCTTACACATCCAACTAGTGGAGGACGAGGTCCGACGCAGGAACTCGCCCCCTACCGCCTCTGACCCTATCACTGTGTCCAAAGATGAGATTTCATCTACCATCAAAGGACTTAAGCCCAAAAAAGCACCGGGTGCGGATGGTATCTCCAACCAAGCCCTCAAACACTTCCCGGAGCAGGTAATCGCCTTACTGGCCATTATCTTTAACGCCTGCTTCGAATTCAGTTACTTTCCCACCTCTTGGAAAGAGGCAACTGTCATTGGCATTCCCAAGCCAGGCAAACCTCTCCACCTCCCCTCCAATCACCGTCCCATCAGCCTCCTCAAGGCCATGGGCAAACTTTTCGAACGAGTCATTCTCGTGCGCTTGAGGCGCCATTTGTTTCCCACAGACGGCGACCCTCTTGTCATCCCACAACAATTCGGGTTTCGAGCCAAACACTCGTGCCCCCAACAAGTTCACCGCATAGTGGAATACATCCTCAGCGGTTTTTACCCTCGCCGTCAAAAAACCATCGCGGTCTTCTTTGACATTGCCAAGGCATTCGACAGAGTCTGGCACGAGGGCCTTATCTACAAACTGTACGACTTAGGCCTCCCAGATCGTCTCGTTCGCCTTGTAGCCTCCTATCTGAAGGATCGTACCTTTCGTTTTAGACACGAAGGCACGCTATCCTCTACCCGTCAAATAAAAGCCGGTGTCCCTCAAGGCTCTGTGCTTGCTCCCCTCCTATACATACTATTCACCAACGACATCCCTATCCCGTCGAATGGTGTCAAACTAGCCCTCTTTGCAGATGACACAGCCCTTTACTCCAAAGGCAACTCACTACCACAGATTCGGAACAAGATCCAAAAGTCAGTAAGCGACTTAGGAGCTTGGTTCCAAAAATGGCGTATCGACGTAAACCCGGAGAAAAGCTCCGCCGTTTGCTTCGAATATAAACGACGTCGTCTCACCACCACTCCGCCAATCAGGATGTTAGGAACCCCTGTCCCATGGCAAACTAAAGCCAAATACCTAGGCGTCACCCTTGATGCAAGGCTCACTTTCGAGCCCCATATCAAGAAGGTTACTCGCACCGCACGTTTTTACATGGGTAGGCTCAACAGCATGTTGGGCAGACACAGTAAAATGTCCCTCCGCAACAAGCGAACCCTATATAAGGTCTGCATACGACCTGTCATGACCTACGCGGCCCCCATTTTTGCACATGCTAAACCCAAAGCTATCAATGAACTTCAAATAGTTCAAAATCTATTCTGTCGTAGGGCCACTAACTCGCCCTATTATGTCCGTAATGCCGACCTACATCGAGACTTAGAGCTCCCAACAATCCAGCGGTTCCTCAAATCACTCTCTGAGAGATTTTTCAAAGCCTCAGAGTCCCACCCAAATCATCTCATTCGTGA